CATGACATGTATTGGACCTGATACCTCATGTACACTAAGAATAGTGAGTCGATATCAAGATAATCCTTGCGATAATCATTGGATAGTCATAAAGAATATTATCAAGAATTTATAAAGAATTAAGGATATGTTCTTAATATATGGAAGTAGAGAAGAGTTTCGTGTTTCAAGTTAAAGTGTTGCAAGTTTCCAAATTGACAGGGACAACTCGTGTTCACAATCAGGATGGATGTTCTCGCTGAATGGAGGAACGGTGACATGGAAAAGTTCCAAGAAGAAGAATGTAGCAGACTTGACGTGAGAGTAAGAGTATATTGTAGCTAATGAAGCAAAAAAGGAGGCTACATGGTTAAAGCACTTCATCGATGATCGTGGAGTTGTACGAACCATAAAAAACATGTGGAGATATTTTGTAATAACGAAGGTGCAGTCGCAGTGACTAAAGAACCTAAGGACCATGGAAATTCAAGACACATACTCACAAAATACCACTACATTCGACATAGAGTAGAAGATGGAGACATCGTCGTAATGGTGTATCATCTAAGGATAATCTTGAAGATCTTTTCATAAATCCATTATCAAGAAAGAAGCATGATGGTCATGTAAGAACTATTGGCATGAGACTGGATAGTGATATGATGTAATAGTTTAGTTGATTAGTTTGAATTTTTTTTAGTTATATAAAAGGATGAAGCATTTGATGTTTATTTCATTATGAATAAATAAAGAGCATGCGTTGCTGTCAAAATGGTGTTTTTCATTTTTGTGTTTCGCTTTTGAATATTTTAAACCCACTTCCAGAATATTTGATTGTATTTAAACCTCCAAATTTTGTCATACTCTGGGAAGTGAGTGATTGATTTAAGACCTCCATCAGTATTAGTTGATTTTCCATACACACACACACACACACACACACATATATATATATATATATATATATATATATATATATATATATATATATATATATATATATATATATATTGGACAATGCATACATATGCGCTAACACTCATGGATACTTGAAATAGAGATTGAAGTATTGGAAAAACCATCACTTAGAGATTACTTCATGTATCTAGTCATGAGTAATTCTAAGTTGAAAATATCTTTTGTTCATTTATCCAAGATGCATACAGGGTTTTGCTTACAAAATATGTTGTGTATTTGTTTGCTCCAACGCTCATTATAACTATTAGTCATGAAGTGTATGATGAGTAGAAAAAAACTATGTAGTCAAAGTCTATTTGTTCCTTCTCGTAAATGGTAAGTGATTTCCATGAGCCCCATGATGATCTAGTAATGACATCTGAAGTGCTTGATTGAGCCCTACTTAAATTGATGTCTTCGATTAAGAAGTCATATATGATCGTCATAAATCGTTAATTTGGAAATAGAAATTTGGACAATGAGATTGACCTTTATCCATGTCAAATGTTCATAGAGGTATCTAGAACAGATGAATATTTGATTATTTGTCTAACGAATAAATTGTCATTCGTTATATAGTTTGGCAGTTGCATTGGATGACTACTCTCCACTTCTTGTTAGCGAAATATTCGATCTTAAAAGTTAAAGACATGTCAAAGTGGGAGACTGTTGGAAAAAGTGTGCAGGTTCAATAAATATTTTATTAATATTTTTTATAATAACAAGGTCATTTTATGTTTCCCTCATAATCTAAATAGCAATAACGAAATCGAGAAAAATAAGTTATTAATTTATTAAGTAATTAGTAATTAATTAGGAATTATTTTGCTAATTAATTAAATAGTTTTAATTAATTAAAGAGCTTGAATATTGACTAATTCCTAGAGCTTTATTGGAATATTCTAGAAGCTTCTAGGAAGATTATACAAACGGTTTTAAGAAGCCCTGGATAAGGATAAGGCAGGTTTTGTATCAGATAAGGATTAACCTGAAGAGTTTGAACCCCTTAAGGATTTATCTGCTGCCTTTAACTAGACTGCTAGGGGTGAAACCCTAGTAGTTGATTCCTTCTCATATATTCATCCACCATTTTCCCTCTCTCCTAGAAGTTGAAAAATCATAACCTCTATCCTACGGTTAGTGATTTTCGATTAACCCTTTCCAAATAGTTTTCCTTATTAGAATTTGGTGTTTGGGTCCGACTAAACTGGAGGGATTTTATTCGAAGAAACAACAAGAGGTTAGTATTCTTACTTAGTTTTTTTTGAAAGTTCATTGCTATAACTAGTAAAACCTAGATATTAGGATGCATGTACACTTCGGTAATTTTGATTGTTTATTTTGTCATGATTAAGTGTATTGATTGTAACAAAAACCAACATGATTAGCAGGTAGTGTTGCATCCTTAAACATTTTTATCTCTAAAGCATCTGAAAGGTGCAAACCTTTCTATGATATCTTGAGAAAGAACAAGATTTTCGATTAGACAACGAAACATGAAAAATGATTTCAAGAGCTAAAGAATTACTTATATTCAACCCCATCATTAGCTAAGCCTAAATTTGGAGATCCTTTGTTCCAATATCTGGATGTATCTAAGAATGCAACAACCTTGGTTTTGGTAAAAGAACAAGATGGTTCTCAACATCCAGTACACTATGTAAGTAAGAGTTTCTTGGATGTTGAGATGAGGTATTTGCATTTTTAAAATTTAATAGATCCCTTATTTGTGCTTGAACTAAGTTACATAATTATTTTGAAACTCATCATATTTATGTGAAACTAATTATTTAATTAAGAATGTGATAACAAAGTCGGAGATGTCAAGATATGTTATAAAATCACAAAATTAGTTGATTTTGTGGTTGAATTCAGTCAGGATCTTCAACCTGAAACTGTGACTAAAATCCAATGAGTCCAAGATACATAAGAACTTAAGAAATTGGCCCACTTTACTGATGGGGCTTCCAATGCTAAAGGATCATGTCTCAGAGTCATATTAACATCGCCACAAGGGAACATTATCCCCCAAGCAGTATGTTGTAAATTTGAAGAGACCAACAACGAAGCAGAGTATGAAGCATTAATCTTCGGCTTACAAATTGCCCAATTTGATAATCGATAAAATTAGGTCATCATTCACCAGTCTAAGTCACCGTGAACACTAATTGTATAAGACAAAATATATAATATTCCGCTCTTCTAATGCAATTGAAGTTTTATACTTGGAAATGCATGTGGAATACCACTCAAGTGTTCTATGGATATAGATCGTTGACAAACAAACACTATTTGCTATACTTAAGTAATAATTTAATACATTTAAATAAGACTTATTCACTAACTATTTTTATGTACAAATAACACTCTAAACAAATATAACATGAAAATACAATTTAGTGGACGTAAAGAATGTCAAAAATGGAGATCATACACAATAGTTACGAACATTTAAACTAAGGAAATAAAATATATATCATATTTTACTGGAAACGAACGTTCTCGATTCGTTGGGATAGCTACGCATTTCGTGAAGTATTTTTGAGACCATTTTTGGACTCAGACTATATGTGACATCCCCTTATTTTCATAACCAATTAATATGTTTTATTTATGCTTCAAGTTGTTGTGTTGCGGAAAATCCCATTTTTAAACAATTGAGATAACATAACTTATTCCATCTTATTCAAATACCATGGATGTGACCATTAATATCCAAACATAGGTTACAAAATAAAAATAAAAAGGTTCCCAAAATAATAATACAGGCACATCTCTTATTTCACTTGGCATCCAAACTAGTTTCCAACAACCTTAGTTCCGCTACCCGTGATACGTTTAAATTGAGTGGGTCGAGTTTCAGAAACCTGGTGAGATACATAGAGTTTTCAAGCCCATAATATTTTAATGATAATAACTAATAAAATTCTTGTAAACAAACAATATACATGTTAATAATATTGTGTAAGACAAATTACCATGCACAATCAATTCGTACAAATCCTAATTCGACGATCATCCGGAAAAATCACCTTACCTAATGAATCATATGAGAAACTGGTTGAATACACAATTAGGGGAGTACTTCGCTAGTGTAAGTCATATTAAGACAACCAATGTACAGAGTATGTGATAAATATGGTATCTGATTTTATCTTTGTTTGTAGGTTATAAGTGTACACCAGCAAGGTAATTCACTAGACCGCCTAGAATAGTGAAGTGTTGTCATCTACTCTGGTCGATAACTCAGACATACTTGCTAGTTTTTTTATGTGGACCCACCATTTGTGGTCATCAAAAAAGATTAGGACTACTACACTCTTCTCTAATCTCACACTCTACCCTAGAATGAGACCTATTCGATAACAACTTATTTGGAACAAATTACCCTTATCAGTCAATAACTATCCCAAACTATAGAGGAAAATCTGACCTCAACGTAGTTCTTACTAAGCAATACTATTATATTATACAAATAGCACAAAGTATAATTAACATAGTTAGCATTTAATAGATACTTTTGTAAAATTATGCTCTTGAAAGTAACTACGCACGCACTTGACAAAAGTGGGTGATTTGAGGTTAGGTGAGCGCTTCGCCTTAACACCTTTTTAAAAGAGCTATAAGTATATAGCACTTAGTCGTAGACTATTTTCATATTCCTTGTGACTATAATAATGTTAGTCTAGATTCTTCAACAATCCCAATGTCCACATCAAGATCTATCAAATAAGGAATAACTAGGCAGGATCATATCGAAGCTAGGATCCGTTTGGTATATAGAGTATGTTGTTTGGAAATCCCACTTTAAACACCTCACTAAATCCATCCCTAGGTAGGAGAATAGAAACTCAGGCATCCTATAGGTAGGAGAATAGAACCTCAGGCATCCTTATACTTTTGAATCCTATAGGTAGGAGAATAGAACCTCAGGCATCCCTAGTAACACATCTGATATATGGCCAAATGTCACTATTGGTGGAAACTTGTCTCAATCGCATGTATATGCACCAGAAGTTACCTCTACTCCACGTATTCCAGATGATGGTCAAGAAGAAATTTTAATGAAAGATGATTCTGAATCCATTGATGAATTCATGGCATTTGATTTTGTGTTTCAAGTTGAGAGTGATCATGAATATGATTATGTTCCAATGACCAAAGGAGATTTTTGTATGCTGAATAAGAAGTTAGATGAAATTCTTTCTCAGGCTTCTACTTTCATCAACACAAAGTATGACGAAATTCTCTCTTTTCATCACGAAACAATTCAGAAGTGCGTTAAAGAACATGATAATAAGCTTTCACAAGATCAGAAGCTTGTTGATGATTCTACTAAACTAGTCGAGGAAGCAAGTTTGCAAGTCTTAACCCTTCTCACTGAAGTCAAATCAATCGCTTCTAAGCAAGAGAATTTTATGACTTCATTTCAAACATTTTTTGATACAAATATTGCTTAAATGAACAAAGTGATTCTTAGTTTTCGAATTTCACTACAGAATGAAAAAGAAGCTTTATATGGTCTTCTCTTTGGGCTACAAAAGGATAATGTTGATCATCATACCTTAATTGCCAATTCCATTCTCACTTTACAAACAAGTCAGGCTAATGAAAACAAAATCATGGATGCTTTGGCTAAAGCAACTACAAAGATCCAAGTTCTTAAGGAACAATTGAAAACAACGGCTTTGGATCTTGGAAAATCAAACGAATAACTCTTGTTTGTAAAAGGGCAAAATTTTCAAATAAATCAGAGCTTGGTTAAGATTATGGAAACCAAATATGGTCCATATGTTGACTACATTTTGCAGCTTATGGATGTAAAACTTAAGCCCATTCTCACAAAGTTAAATGATTTTACGAGTAGCAAGGCTACTTAGCAACAAGGGGGAGATGAAAGAGTATTTCCAGAAGTCAACATCAAGAATCATTATCAAACGGGTCCAATGGAAAAGAAAAGTGAGAAAATCCATTTGGAGAAGCAATCTATGGAAGAAAAATTGAAACAATTGAGGGAAAAGAGTATTGGCCAAAAGGGTAATGAAGCTTTTGGGTCAGGAAAAGGAAATGTAAAAATTGTCTCTGAGAAGTTAGATGATTTTGATCCACCATTGACAAAAGAACAACAAGAAAATCAAGCAAAGAGTGATGCATTTTTGGATGAGATTAATGCTTTGAATGCAAAGCTTCATGTAGAGGAAGCTGGGAAGAAGAATGCAGAAGAAATTTGTGACATCCCCAAATTTGTGGTCATTTTAAAAAATTTATTTATGCTTATTTAAAAATCAGAGTATTCATTCTAAAAAATAATGTTGCGGAATTTGTTCCCAGAAAACATGATAAATATATTATCAAAGCATTTCCGAAGAAATATATTTTGTTTACATTAAAACTTTGGGATGTCATTGTCAATACAGAAACGTATGTTTAAACAGACCTTACATTCATTTACACTAATGATTTACATCTCCTTTAATCTCTCAGTGTAATGTGACTTCGTATCGATACCTGTGATACAAATAAACTGAGTGGGTCAGGTAGGAAAACCTGCTGAGTACATAGGGATTTCAATCCCATATATATATATATATATATATATATATATATATATATATATATATATATATATATATAGGTTTAGGTTCTATGAAAAACAAAAAACCTTAAAAAAAACCCTAAAAATAAAAAAAATGCATAAAAAAAATACTTAGAGATCACAAAACTTTTTTTTTGAATTTTTTTAATAAAAAATCGCAGCTTTTTCTTAAAATTCGCTGAAAAAAAAATAAAAAATCAATTTTTTTTTTTTAATAAAAAAAAAATTTTCAAAATTTTTTTCAGCGAATTTGTATAAAAAGCTGCGATTTTTTATAAAAAAAGTTCAAAAAAAAGTTTTGTGATCTCTAAGTATTTTTTTTATGCATTTTTTTTATTTTCCAAATAACCCTTCCCTATATATATATATATATATATATATATATATATATATATATATATATATATATATATATATATATATATATATATATATATATATGTTAGAACTCACAATATACACAATTTCACCTCATATAAGCAATTTTACCCAACCCCGTCGATCCTCACAACAGCACGATCTATACTCTCGGATCTAAAATTAACCTCTTTACCTAATCCATACTCCCGGATCAAGTATGTCTAGTCCATCGATCCCCGACAATGACGCCAATTGATGAAGTATTGAATCAAGTAATGAAATCAAAATCAGAGTATCGAGAATTGAGAACACAAAATGTAAATAAGATCTTGTTTCAGCTCATATTATGCTTCACGGTTACAGAGAGAAAATAGACAAGAACAACTCCAAAACTCTTTTCTAACTCTAAGTAACATTCCCTATTTATTGGAAAACAGTAAAGCATACAAAAATTACAAAGGACTAAACTTCACAGTTTCGACATAAAATTCCTTTGCAAAATAACATTACATTTCGACACCTTACAATAGAACTTCGACCCTTACAATCTCCCCCTTTGTAAGCAGTGTCGAAATCAGTTGATCAAAACTTGGGCAACCAAGTGTAATGTTCTTCGAATTTCAGCATACCAATTCGTCAATTCATCGCTTAAATCTCGACTTTGACTTTTTCACAGTGTTTGACTTTTCGATATCAAAGTGCAAGAAACACCAAATTCACGATTCTATCATCGATTTTCAGATCAAACAATGAATCTTGAACTTGTTCTTCATTCCATTCAAGTGTTCTTGACCAAGATTTATAAGATCTAAGAATGAATTTCCGATTTCTAAGTCTTGATAGGAATAAAACCAATTTCATCATACATAAATCATATGAAATCGATTTCTAAGTTCAGATTAACAATCAACAACAAATGATTGTTAAAAATGATGAGATGAAATCGTAAGAACAATTGTGATCAATAATCAAGTGCGTACCACTGTGTGAAAAGTCGTATGATGACTAGAATCGTTTATCAATCACCGATTTTAATTTGAGTGAATTTAAGAAGTAATTGGGCTCACAACTTTTAAGATATCGGATCAAACACTTTTGGGCTCAATGTATGAATTATGAACAGTAACAGACTGTTATCATTTGGGCTTAAAAACTCGATTAAATGAACAGAAAACATCTCGTAACATTTGGATTTAAATGAATGAAATGGATTAAAACTTTTGATCGGGCTTTTGAATTCAATTTGATGAACATTAACCGATCACAATTTTGGTTTTGAACAAGATCAATTGAAAGAAATGTATTGAATCATAGCAATTGGGTTTTTCAAAAAAAGTGATCCAATGAGTCAAATGATCAAAAACCAAGAACGCAACGCACGAATCATCAAGATTAAGAGAGATCATAGAGAGAGACTCACCATAAATGCTCAAATTGTGATAAATTTAGCCAAACCGAGAATCGTTTCTTCAAAAAATCGTGTTGATCTTCGAAGACCCGCTCTGATACCAATTGATGTGATTTATGAGCTTTGGTTTGGCTTGCGGAATTAAAGAACGCACAATGAAGATGCTGATTTATATGTTTAAGAGATGCATTCGATTATGTATGGTGTTATAAAAAGGGATCTTGATCTAAATCTACATAAATAACACACACTTACACACTCAATTTTACATCTCTCAAGCACACTTATACATGTGGAATAAACCCACCTTATATAGAGGTGTTTACATGTCTCTCTCTCTTACTCTCTATCTCTCATGTCACAAGGCTAAAGCACCACATGCAAATGGGTCTACAAAAGTCAAACCATTTACAAAGTCATACATGGATAACTTTGTACCCCAACAATGTCTAACCCATGCTCCCAGATTAATGGCAAATAACTATGTCCTCTCCATACTCTCGGACTAAGGACAAATGACTATGTCTAATCCATGCTCTCGGATCAATGACAAATCTTAAAGTTCAAACCTCCGTGTATATCTCACCTACACTGATAAGAAGATACTACCCGATATCCATCTCAATTAATTTAGGTTTGTTCTGTATCCTAAATCATCACATATTATCAGATATACTCTTAACACATATTTCAGGTAATAACAAATATTTCACACACAAACATATATTTAACACTTTAATCAATGCTTGTATTAAAATCATGTTCATGAAAGGGACTATGCACTCACTTGTTAAAGTGATGATTCCAAACTCGGACAACGCTTCGCTTCTAACAATTTTATTTTCCTTCGACGAAACGTAGTATCATTACCGCTAGATTTTAGTCTAATATTTATTGCGACTATTTACGAGCGATATTCTTCGGATGGGGCGACATGGAGGCTGCTGGGAGCGCATATGCGAGTGCGCGGGGCGTAATATCCGTTACATGGGGCGTACACGAAGGCCAGCAATCAGCTCTGCATGCGAGACCAATTCCCGACTTTTAAATTCCATAGCTTTCGCATACGAGCTCCATTTTTGATGTTCTTTATATCCAAGCGTGGGTGGTGACGTAATCTACAACTTTCGTTTAGACTTCGTCGGCTAATTTTGACCTTATTTTTAAAGTTATATTTTAATAAGCTTAGACAGGTAAAGTCCGTTAAAAATTCATAACTTTGTCATCCGACGTCCGTTTTCATCTGTCTTTATATCGTTGAGCTCCTATTAACGAGATCTTCAATTCTCATTTAGATTGTGTCGGCTAAAAATCGGTCGATCTAAAATTCGAATTCCAGGTTGTGCACTGTTATGCTAAATCTTAGAAAAATTATAACTTCCTCATACGAAGGCAGATTTGGACGTTCATTTTATGCACGCTCTAGGTTTAATTTATACTACAACCTTTGTTTAGATCACTAAGGCTAAAAGGTATTTTATTCTCAACTCACTTTTACGATTGCCGTTGTTGTGTCGGTTTTGCTACAAAACTTCGACGGGTCATAACTTCTTCGTTATAACTCGGATTTCAGCGTTCTTTATATGTACAAAATCCTTGTAACATATACTATAACTTGGTTAATATTATTCATTCTAAATAATCTTCTATCAAAAATTTGTTTTTAACGCTCATTGTCACTAAATTGACTAGCCTAAATCTAGGAGCGTTACAAAATTCTTACGAACAAGAAAGGTCTACTTCCTCCATGGTCAATTGAAAGAATTGAAGAAGAAGCTCCCAACAATCCAAAAATCTATTGGTTGGAACCTCTAAACTCTTTCCCAATTGATAATGATGTTGATTGTCATATGGATTTGCCTATTGCTGCGAAAGCTTTTAAATTTTGTTGCTTCGAAATTATTCAGAAAATCGGTATGGTAAACACAACTGTTAACAGGAAGTTGTTCAACTTTTATTTGAAAAATTATAAACCGAGGTATGAATCTTGGAACATAAAGAAGATTGTTGGTTAGAAAGTACGGAAGTCAGAAAATGTTGATTTTGTCAATATTCAGTTCAAGGAAGTTCATGGAAAGAGTTGTAAGAGTTGGTTAGAAAGTAGGGAAGTCCCTCTGATGCTTATATACAGGAATATTAGATAGAAGCACTTGTAAGAGTTGATTCGATATAATATTTCTTTTTCATATCATCAAATTGTTCTGATCTTACTCGTTAATGAAAACTCAATCTTATTTACCTTGTGTGTTCATGTGAATCATTTCACCGTTCGATTTGTGAATCTAATCGTTCCTTCCTATCATAGGAGTCGGTTCCAAAATACTGTGGGTGATCTCCGACGAGATGAACTCCCGCATCTGCTCATTAACCGGTTCAACACTAGCACCTGAGCCTGAACTAAAACCCAAACCTCCTCCACGAGTGCTCATCACCATTCTCAAAAGAAACCAAACAATAATCAGAACATACTCAAAGAGTCCATATCCCATAAGCTTCCTAGATTCTTCGTGACCATCCTTGATTCAAGTATGGATCTTGTGCTTCCAGTAGTACGGGCACAATACTACCTTCCACACCTATCCATACTTTCCTGAAGAATTATCTCGAATCCTCTAAGTCACCCTCTCAAACTGGTACTCTAAATACCTGTTGAACAGCGCATCCATACCCACTAAAACACCTCATAGACTCTCCTAGGTTCCTCAGCCTCACCCTGTCATCAGCTGCTGAAGACTCCCACTAATGTCAGCTAAATACTTCATGAATACAATCAGATGCAACAAAGCTTAGATAATCTTTCGAGTAAAAGACTCAACTCTACAAAGGTTGAACTCAGACAAGAGCTGTGCGATAGGGTCAAATCCATCACTATAAGATTATTTAACCTTTGCAGCATGCAACTTAACATATTCATGAAA